CTGGCCACCTACTGCTAGGTTTTATTGCTTTTCAAAATTTGACGTGATGCATCTCCTGCTATGAATAACAAAAATTAAAATTGCTTCCAAAATTAAATATATCATGGGTTAAACCTGTATTGGAGGTGCTTCTCTGATAAGAAGCACTGTGGAATTTGTAATATTGGCAAATCCTACTTTAAATACTGTTTTTTAGATCTAGCTCCTGTCACTAATTAAATCAGTAAATAATCCCTCCAAAATTAAAATTCGGCTTACTATTGAGTACTAGCCTAGGAAGCAAATTGGACAACATTCCACAGGCAATTTGAATTCACCTTTTCTAAGCTTCTGTGATAAAAAGAAAGATTTTTAAAGAAGCATGACTTTAATAGGAATAGTAATGCAGATTCACACTTGCAATTAAGTTTCTCGTGTGTCTTTCAAAATGTTTGCTTCAGAACTTTGAGATACAATTTCCCTAATGATTAGTCATTTTGTATTATATTTGTCATATGTAAATTTCTTCTTCTGTGCCTGGTCTTTGATATAGAGCAATTGAATGCTGAGTTGGCATCCTCAAAGCTGCGAGAGCATGTAATCTGTGCCAATCCGGGTGTCAGCAGGGAACTATCCTTGTGGGTGCTGTGAATTGCATCTTCTGTTCTGTTGTCAGAGCCCCGAATGGCTGCTCTCCCGTATATAAGGGCTGAAACAGCACTGAGCTGATCGTATGTGTTGTATGGAATTTGGAAGTATTTGCTTCCATGACAAAAGGGCGGTGTGTGCTGATGGCTTGTGAGGATGCTGCTCTTGACTGTTGTCAGAGAGTAGCAGGCAAGGCTGGGCTGGAGGAACCCTTGAGGCTCAGGGCACACGAAGGGGTAGAAGCTGCATGTGTGGCTGCTCAGGGCAATGAAGGCCTCTTAGTGCATTTAGAGCCCTGCCACACATAAATGGTGTTTAAGGTTCTCACTGAGAGTCTCAGCAGTGTGCTATGAGCTCTGGTTGGCTGTTTGACCCCTACCTAAGTAGGCTTCAAATTAACTACGTGACAGCTACATGGACCCAAAAGAAAATACTGTTTTATTAACTGGACAGAAATTTGCAGGACTGTGGTATGAGTAATGTAGAATTATTACTATGGAATTGTTCTAAATGGGGAATAGAAGGAAGCTTTTTTTTTTTTTTCACTCCTAGGAAAACAAAAAGCAAATCTATGAGAACACTTGTGTGTGTTTCAAATGTACCTTCCTTAAAAACTTTCACTTTTTCTCTTTTCCTGCTTCTTGCTGATTTTTTCATTTAACTTTTACTAGGGATGTATACTCTGTTAGAAGAATTTGTGTGAGCAGTTCAGATGCTGTGGATGTTTGGAAACCTATTGTGCATGACATTAGCTGTTCACTTAACACCTACTCAAAGGTGGCCATCTAAACCTAGCTACTATTATACCCTTTTTGCATAGGCTAATGTATTAGTTTTTTGAAACCTCTAATATGTCAGAGCAGTGGCACAATTGGGATTTGAATGTAGAAAACCTTCTGAACTGTGATTTTCTTTGATAGATGATGAACTGAATCTTACTCCTTGCTTTATTTGCTAAATACAGAGTTCCCAGAAACTGTCACTGCCTTTTTAAAAGTAGTGATTTATTCTCAGTCCTTTCAAAGAGCATCTCGGGGTGCAGACTTTATTGTACCTTGTGACTGCTTCATTTGGAGTTATTCAGCGTAACTCTCTGAAGCTGATAGGAGTATTATCTCCACTGTGACGTTTCTGATGTATTGTTGCATTCTGTGTTATAAATTCCATTATGAGCCACCCAGGAATAGAACTCTTAGTGTCACCAACTTCAGAATGTTCTTTTTTGGCTTTTTAATATATTTTAAGGCATTGCTGGCTTTGGAATACTTTTACGATGTTTTGGAAGGAAGTGAGAAAGGATGTATATATCATATCTAAAGAATATCTACAATCTAGCCTTGCTAGAATAAATGATGAAATTTCCACTAATTCTCTGTTTAAAAGACCGTGTCTGCGAATGTATTCTCTCAAAATTTTGAGTGATTTCTTGTCTACAGTGAATAAGAACCTTTAACATTATTTGAGTCTGAATTTTGCTTTGTAACTGTTGTGATTATTTGGTTATGGTATTTTGATATAAGATACACATTTTATATCAAATAAATCTATTCCAGATTAACAAATTCCGTATGCACTATTGCTATTGCCAGAAATGGATGGCTGTTCATCTGACTAGATGTGATAATTTTAAGTGCTTGACCAATACTGTATGAATTAAAATTTTAGAAAATACTGTTTTATTCTGTGTATTTTACTTGAGTAACCTAACTGAAGAATTGTCCTAAAGTTTGATGTGATTCTCTGCCAAAGTAGTTTTTGATATGTAACTATTATAACTCCTGTTATGTCTATCAATTTATGTTACTATTGTGGCAGATTTATGAAACAGTATATCCTAAACACAACATAAAGTTGTGTTTCTTTTTTTAGTTTTTTTTGTGTGTGTGTTTTTCTGTGTAATTAAAGGTGCTAATTAGTTAAAAATGTGGTTAAATAAAACCTAGCTGGCTGTTGTGCTGTGTGAGTGTGGACAGAGCTTGGTAATAATCTAGCTCTTGAAGGAGAGTTTCGTAGAGAATGCCTTAAGTGGGTCTTCACTTGCTGAATTTATCATGGGGTCATCTCCCCAAAGTGGGAATTCTCCCCAAGCCTCTTGCTAAACAGCAGGAAAATGCTAAGCAAGTAGGGTTCCCATGAAATAAATATTATTAGCTTTTGGAAGAGAAAAAAAAAAAGAGAGATTTGATTTATTATTATTCTTTCCTAAGATTAATATTACTGACATTCCGGTAAAATTGCACTTCATTCCTTTCCCCATTTCCTTTTTTTTTTTTTTTTTTCTAAACTGTATTGACAGGGTAGAGACGGAAAGGTTTGTCGTGTACTTCGGGTAAGTGGAGTGAACTCTGTTTTGTCTTCAGTGAATTAACACTTTCTTGAAAAGTGGTTGGTTTGGACAGAATGTTTCTTTATCGCTTCTCCTCCTGTTAAGAATCAAGTCTTTTTAATCTCCTGGGGCAATGCATGCTTTCTTTTTGGTGTTTCACTTGATGGCATGGGGGGCCTGCTTGAAAGCATTGCTTCATCTTGGAGCTGTGGTAGATCAAAGTTATGAATGCATGGTTCAGTATGTGATATTTGAGCTTTTGCTGTCACAATGGATTATTTGTTTTAAATTGGTGCAAATGGTTTACTTCAGCTAAATGCTTGAACAGATTGGAGTTACACAAAAGAAGTTTTCTGTGGTTAAAAAGAGAGAAAGTACTTATATTTCGAATAATCTACATATATCTTATATTGTTGCTGACATTGTTATTATGCTGATATATGCTACAAAATGGACAAGTTGCCCTTTTGAATAGGTATTTGCAGCTTTTTATCTTGTATCCTGTTTTGTAGGCCTGATTAGGACAGATAAAACTGAAAGGAGTTCTTTATTTGTTTTGGTTTTCTTGCATTATTTTTGATATGCTCCTGGACTCAATTCTGAAATTAGTCACACATTTTCTTCATAAAATATTCTTTGGTGAAATTTGGATATGGCCAAAATCTACTGTACGGCCGAAGCAGAAAAGTGTATATAGTATGCAAGACCAAAGTTTGTTTGAAAATAAAAGGAGGTTCACATGGGAGATGCAAAAGAATCCAATTAAATGAAACACCATGAAGTAAATATCCAAATTGTGAATCTGAAAGTGCGTTCTCAGTGCATCCTACAATTGTATTCTCTCTGGTATTTTTAATTATACATGAAATTTAAAACAGTGTCACTGAAAAATTTTGCATCTGAGGAAATAAGTATAAGAAATGTGCAAGGTTTCTTTCTGTTATCAGATATGGCCACTGAATTAAGGTTAATGTCAAGATGACATTAGTAGCCAAGGGAGAGAAATGTGCCCCAGTAATTTTTCACATGTGCTTAATATCTGTGCCATTGAGGTAGAGGCTTTATCAGAAAGTGGGTTTGATACAGCTACATAGGGCAGGTCCCACTACCACAGTAAAGAGTAAAATTCTATAGGTATTCTTCATGGAATGCAGAGTGGAGGTTAAGGCACAGTTGAGGGGAAAATCCATAATAATGAGCAAGTGTCAGCCTTTTCATATCACTGGCAAACTTGAGAGAGTAGAGTAAGATTGGAAATCTGTGATTATTAATGGAATATCGGGTTGTATTTGGAATATCTCTTATACTCTGATCCAAGTACAAATGAATACTAAATCTAACATTAACTCTTATCTTACAGAATTCTTTGTTTTAGTGGGTGTTTTGTGTATGCATGGTGAGAAGAACAGAGCCACCAATTATAACAACTAACTAGAAAACAGAGCTACTTGATAATCAAAATTCTTACAAATGGATAAAATACACTGATGCTGCATCTTATTTTATTCTTTGCAGGGAGCCATTGGTCTTCATAATTTATTAACCAAATTCATCACTATTTTGATATTCTTTGCATAGTTGTAGATTCAACTGCAAAATAAAATTGCCACTAAAATATAACTTCTTTTTTTTTCAGGGCCAGTGTAGAAAATCAGATACTGAAATCTGGGTTTACTAGCTGTGAAATTATTATTTTGGAAAATGATGATCCTGGAGGAGTGTTTGAATTTTCTTCTTCTTCCAGAGGTCCCTACAGTATCAAGGTAAATAATTTCTCTTATTCATCAAAGATAATGTAGTTTAGCAGATTACTAGAAAAAAGGCTGTTTTCCTTTTGAACAGGAAGGGGAGTCTGTTGAGCTGCAGATCGTTCGCTCTAGAGGAAGTCTCGTCAGGCAGTTTCTACGCTACACTGTAGAACCAAGAGACAATAATGAGTTTTATGGAAGCACAGGAATTCTGGAGTTCAAGCCTGGTGAAAGAGAGATCAGAATTACTTTACTGACAAGGATGGATGGCATTCCAGAGGTAACATTTAACACTTTATTTCTTTAAATTGTGTTCAAAGGCATACTAGGTTGACAGTTGTTAAAATGTGTGAGAAAGAAATAGAAAAGAGTGACTGAGAGTGACTCTTTTATAGAAAGATTTATAAAATAGCTGTGTACTACATGAAAATCTTATACATGTCATCAGTAGAAATTGGGTCTTTTCTGGTTTACCTGAATAATTCTATGATTTCTTTTTCTTTTTAACCCCAGAGAGATGCAGTATTTGGGGCACATTTCTTAGCCCTAACCTTGGAAAGGCCAAAAAAAGCTTTTGAGGCAGGTCTTTACAAAGGACGGAAGGATAGGTGGAGGATCCTTTAACCAAGAAACAGAGAGACGAATACATAGATTCAATCCTTTATTTATTGTTAAGTGTTCCCTGATTCGTTGCAGATTTCCTGGAAACATATGAAGTGCAAGATTCCATAGATTAATAAAGCGCATTGAAAAATCTTAGGGAATGGAACACTTACCTCTTGAGTAGTATTACAAATGTAGTTGTATGCGTGAATTGATGCGAGTACACATCAAAAGTCTTTGCTTACAGTAATGCCAGATTTTTGGAGCAAACGGTTGTGCTATCCTATAGAAGGTTTGAATAATGCCTTTTACCCTGTGGGAATGTACAAAACATCATATGATTTCATCTTCTTCAAATTTGTTTCTCCTTCTGCCTGCTTAGTAACTATAGACTATAATCCATTTTCTTTATGATCTCAATTTTGAGCATCTTATTCTGACCAAGTTTCCCTCTTCTAGCTGGACGAGATCTACTGTGTGGTACTCAGTGGCTACAGTGAGATGCCTGGCAAGCTAGGGAATGCCACAGTGGTCAACATAACCATTCTGAAGAATGATGATCCTCATGGTGTAATTCAATTTCTGCCTCATGGACTCACTATAACAATAAAGGAAAGCAAAGGAGAAATCATCCATGATGGTAAATATTTCTAGGTTCTGAATAATTTGACATATGTCAACATATGTATCTGTCCCGCTAGAAAGTATTTATGTAATTGTACAGTTAAGGTTTACATATGTGATGTATCGTTTTGTGCAACATGCGGTTGTCCTCAGCTTCTGTAGGCATTAAAAAGATGAAAATGTGCAATATTTTGCAAATTAAGTTTTAGGAGTACAGGTAAACCTTCTGGATACCTGCTTTTAATTTCTTTTTTTTTTCCTTTTTTTTGTGGGCAAATCTGAATTGAGTTAATAACGGCCATCCTTCTGTGTAGTGTGCTCACATGTTGCTGGTTTTGCCAGTAATGGATGTGCTTATTTTCTCCCCTTTTTATTTGTTTCAGCTTTGCTAACTTTTCTCTTTTTTAATTTTGTTCTGAGCACATGTATTGACTTGTGTATGCTTACATTTTGTAGCCACTTACAGAATTATAAGAAACCAAGGAAACTATGGCAATGTTAGTGTGTCTTGGGTTATTGATCCATCATGTACCAATGACATCTATCCAGAACAAGGAACCATTTTCTTTGATAACCTGGAGTTTTCAAAAAACATCACTGTTTACTCACTGCCAGATGAGGTAATTATTTTGGTGCGGAGTATAGGACAAAGAGTAAGTGACAAAACATAAAAAATTCAGGAAAATGAGTGAGTGTGTGTTTCTGGACAAGCTGATAAGTACTTGTAGGAAAAATAAAAAATAGTTGGGCATACTTGAGATGACTTAAATTATAAACTAACTTCAGAAGCTGTGCGGTTAGAGGCTTCAGTTAGAGGCTGAGAATATATAGTTAGATTTTAATTTGAACACACTTCATGTCTTTAGCTGAAATCTTACCTTAGATGTTATATATTGTTATATGTAGAGTGGTGTAATAAAGACTAAGGATAATGAATAATTAAAGCTGTAAAAATAAATTCCGTATATCAGAAGCAGGAAGCTGTAAGATAACTTCTGTGGTATTTGTACCACAGTAGAAATGAATGGAATTATTTACAAGGATTTTAGATTGAAGATCATTTATTTGTAGTTACTTGAGCTGTCATTGGGCATTCCCCTTGATAAGGTTGAATGGGTAAAATCCATCAGTCTGAAATCTCTCATTTCTTAACATAGTCATCTCTTCATTTTGATTTCTTCATCGTTTGAATGAAACAAATTTACTTTGTATTGTTTTCTTTTAGCTACCTGAAGAGATGGAGGTATTCATCATTAGCTTATTCAATGCTACAGGTGGAGCCAGACTAGGCAATATAACAAATGCTGTTTTACAAATTGCAAGGAATGATGACCCCATTTATTTTGCAGGTTAGATTTTACTGTTTTTTTTTGGGGGGGGGGGGGGATTTTTTGCCTTTTTTCAGCAGATAAAATATGTTTACTATCCAAAGCAAATTGTAATCACAGGCAGGAATATTTATCCCAATCGAGCTAGTGCAAAACTTCCAAGTTTTTATCCCATTGAATTTCTGTTTTTTTCCTTCAGAACCCCCTTATTTCATTTTATGATTCCTTCTGTTCATGCTAAGATTGGTTAGATGGCTGGTTACATGAATCTTCTTGTATCTGCAAGTATTTCCATAATGATACCAAAATATGTTTTGTGTTTCATTGAGGAAACCTCCAGAAGAATTAAAATGTAAGGAGCTCAGGCTTGAACTGAGGTAGATTTGTTGCTTGTGTATTTTCAGAACCTCTCACAGTGAGGGTTCAAGAAGGAAGTGTGGCAAGCTTTACAGTCCTGAGGAACGGATCTGCTGATATTGCCGTTGCAGTCCAGTATGCTACTCTTAATGCAACAGCTGGAGAGGGAGACTTTGTTCCCAGTGGAAGAAGCAACATCCTTTTCTTTGATGTTGGAGAAAGAGAGCAGAACTTATCTATATATATAAATGATGATGATACCCCTGAAACAGATGAAACATTTTATATCATCCTTTTGAATTCTACAGGTAAAAGCAGTGATTTCATGTGGTTATAGTAACTGTCACTTTGTTTTGCTGCAATTTATCTATTTGACCTCATAAAGTGCTATGTTTTTGATAAGTACTATTTGAGTAAGTGTTGATTTACCTCAACACTTCTATCCAATCCATGTACAGAGAGTGTTTAGATTTTCATCTTGAATTATTTATCTTGAAACAAAAATCACGAGATGATTCCTGCTAAATAACCAGAGTGAAAAGTGATTTTTGTTGTTATTGTTGCTTTTTTAAATGTAAATGGAATATATTAGGTGGGATTTTGACTTGACTGCAAAAAGATAGAGCTGCAGAATTACAATACTGCAATGATCTTAGGGGGGAGTTCTGAATTTTTTACTTTACCAGGGTATAATGGGCAACCTGTAAAAATGAACTCTGAGCTGCCTCAGAATTGCCTTGTAGAAAGGGCATGTAAACTGGTGTCTGCTTTCTTCCCATAGTAGTGAAATGCCTGCTTTCTTTTTTTAATCTTCCTTATAGTTTTATAAAGCCTATCTTTTCTAAAAAGAAACATATAGAAGCTATCCAGTGAACCTTACATAAAAGCACTTTTTTTGGTGCACAGTATTCAGAGTACTTGTTATTTGTGAAATAGGTGTCATGTAATAAACCATGGCAAGTGAAATAGGCACCCAGTGGCTTTTGTGTGATTTGCTCACAACACTGTTGATCTCAAACTGAACCTTGTGTTAGATCATTGGAAGTAGGGAGCCAGAAGATGACAGGAAAGTTGTAGGCTGTTATCTGGCTATCGGGTAACTAGTCTGTTTTCCTAACTCATCTAGCATTCAGTGTGGTAGCAGAGTCTCTTAGAGAACACCATTTTATTCTTTTACGTAAAACCTAGTCAAGGGATTATACAAAGCCATTCTTCTCAATACACTGTCTGTGGTCTCATTTCACTTTATTTTCTCCAAGGTTTGCTGCTCACCATTTTGTAGGGAATATATGATGACTTCTCTTCTGGCCCACTGATCCTACAAGAATGGTTAATCTTGGTCTCTCTTGCCTCTAAAAGGAATTCTGGAATCACTAAGAATACAGAGTATTTCTATACAAATTCTTGAAAGAAAAAAGCTGTCTTTTTTATGTGATCTGTTGCACATGTTGGTCTTGATTGTAGTTTCCAAGTTTAGAAAATTACGTTGGAGCTGTTATCCTACATGATTTCTAAAAGCCTCTTCCTACCTCAACTCTTCAGCGATTGTGTCTCAGGGAAAATAGAGATATAATTATGTGAAGTTAAAGCATAAAACTGTGTTTAATTTGGAACTAAAGCTAGTCTAACGCTCCTAAACTGAGGGAGAAGCAGGATGTGTGGAAACAATGTACATAGGTGGAACTAGGAAGGGTGTTGAGATTAACATCCCTACTGTGTTCAGCTGGGCAAAGAGATCGTGGTGGCTTCCCCTCTACTTCACGGACATCATATATTTTTTTTCCTTTCAGATATTCTGTGATGTAGGTATGAGTAAAGTCTCTTTTTATTCTGAGTGGTCTGCTACTGAATATCTCAAATATTGATTTTCATTTGTTTTATTATTTTACATCTATGAATTTGTTTGCATGAACAGTACATGGTGTTAGAAGAAAAGACTCTTTGTTTTAAAGTTGCTTCCGTTTCTGATTGCAATTTTAATATAATTTTTTTAGGAGACACTGTAATCTTTAAGGCTGGAAAGGCTACAGTTATTATTGAAGCAAATGATGATCCTAATGGAATTTTCTCTTTGGAATCTATAGACAAGTCAGTGGAAGAAGGCAAAAGTAACATTTTTTTGTAAGTAACTTTTAATATTTGCACTTCTTAGAATTGTTGTGTGTGGTGCATTATGGGTAATACTTTGATCTAAACCTGTAAAAGTTTGCATTCATAGAAATCAATTCTAAAAATAACTTAGATTTTGGATTAGGTGATTCATAAAGATATTGAAGACATTAAATGTTATAGGTAGACTGCTTAAGTTGAAATGTATGCAGAAGCTCATATTAAAATGAAAATAGACTTATGGAGAAATGAGGAATTACTTTAAAATGTTTTTTGTTTCACTTTGCTTTCCTTAAATGTATTACTGCATATTTTAGTTTCATTTGTTTTTTACTTTATCTGCTCATTGAAGTATGGCTCAAAGTCCAGATCTGACACATTTCTGGTGGAGGGCTGCAAAGCTG